ACACAAATACTTCTAAATAGTTTCAAAAAGTTTACATTGAATACCCCTAAATTTTTTAAATCTGAAAATTTTTAGAAATCCCAATTCATGAAGTTGAGCATGATTAATTGTAGTATTGTACTGGGATATGCACATCGGATTCAAAATTTATAAATTACTCGAAAACCTAATAACTAAAATCCAATTAGGGTTTTGAAATGGTGGTGGAACAATACCCTTCTATCTGCCTGGTGGCGTTCGACGTTCCGACTACTCCGTCAAGTGTGTGTGACCTGAAAAACAAAGTCGGGGCTTCCTCTCCTATTTTACCTCCGGCGTGAGAATTAGTTTTTAGATTTGGAAAAAATGCAATTGAAATTCAGATGGCTAAAGAGAGAGAGAGAGAGAGAGAGAGCCCTTTACCTGTGTCACATCCGGTGGTATTTATAGATATTGGGAGTTGGATAACCGCTGGGCGGTTGTAGTGCCACGTGTCCCACGTTAGCATTCCCCTATCCCCACTTCTGAGTGGGGGTCTTTAACTTCCCGCTTGGAGGTTGTTCCTGTATTAACTGCCATGGAACTTAGTCAAGTCATTAGAAGTTTTATGGCTAAATGTTTGGATAGGCAATATCATGCCCGTTGAAGACTTCGCGTAGAAGTAGTGTGACCTCTAGGGGTAGTGGTAGAGCACCCCCTGGGGGTTGTGGTAGAGTGCCCCTGGGGGGTCGACGACCTCGCGTAGTGGTAGAACGCCCCCTGGAGGTTATGGTAGAGCGCCCCCTGGAGGTTGTGGTAGAGCGCCCTTGGGGGGGTCGACGACCTCGGTTAGTAGTAGAGCGCCCCCTGGGGGTTATGGTAAAGTGCCCCCTAGGGGTTGTGGTGGAGCGCCCCTGGGGGGTCGACGGCCTCGCGTAGTGGTAGAGCACCCCCTGGGGTAGTGGTAGAGCGCCCCTTGGGGGTTGTGGTAGAGCGTTCCCTAGGGGTTGTGGTAGAGCGCCCAGGGGGTCGACGGCCTTGCGTAGTGGTAGAACGCCCCCTGGGGGGTCGACGGCCTCACGTAGTGGTAGAGCACCACTTGGGGATAGTGAAAGAGCACCCCTTACGTGTCGATGGCCTTGCATCGAAGTGCAGTGATCCATCTTGTTTGTCGTCGAGGGTGGCTTCCTCTACCAACCTATATCATTAGCCTCCTATCCCTTGTCGATATTTTCGGCAAGGGGTAGTAATTTTCTTTATCTAGGTTGGTTTGAAAATTTTTCTTCTTTATTTATTTATTTATTATTATTATTATTATTATTATTATTATTATTTTATCCTCTTGCTCTTCTACCTTGCGATCTTAACAGATTCTAACTTACATGTGTAGGGGCAGAGCTTGATCTTGAAGAGATCATGGATTCCATGACCGACCAGGGGCAGGGGGTGAGGTGGATCCATCACCTATCCCTTCAAAGAGAAAGAGGGCGGCCGACCAAGGGGGAAGTCTTGGGCAATCAACGAGAACTCCCAGCCTTCAGACGAATCTCGTGAGGTGGTTCTAGCTCCTAGGCCAGGTGCTTCCAGCCGTGCACGGTGTGAGCGCGAGGATTCATTACCCAACTTCAGGTTTCCTCCTACCCAGGGCTATCATGAGATGGGGGTGCTCAAGTCTTTGATGATGCCCGCTCGTTCTAGAGCAATTGCAAGGTGTAGTGCAGATGACATTGAAAGGGCTGCAGCTGTTTATCTCCAGAGGGTGCGTTTCCAATTTCACATTTTCTTTTATGTTGGGTCTTTCCTTTTAAACTTGGTTTTAACGCTTGGTTTTTATTCTACCCCCTCATTTCTTAGGTGGTAGCCCTCCAAACCAGACTCGTTGAATCAAATCACCGCCTAGTCTCGAAGTTGAAGACTCTTACTGAAGAAAAGAAAAGGAGGCTCATTACTACAAGAAAAAGATATCCTCCTTGAGGAAATCTCTGGAGATGTCGGATGCTCGAGCTCGCGACCAGGAGATAGAGAACGACAACTTGCGCTCTGTTTTAGCTCACGCTCCGGAGGAGGCGATTACGAAGTATAAGGCCTCAACTGAGTATGCCAGAGATCTTGAGGTATTTGTGGAGCAGTATAAGATGTCGTCTGATTATGCTGAGGCCTTAAATTCATATGGGGGGAAGGCGATGGCAGCGTCTATCAAACTTTCCAAGGAGTGGATTATGGTCGAGCATCCTTCTATAGACCCCTCTGGTCTAGATAGGTTTCTCGCGCGGCGCAAGGGGAAGGAGAGTGGAGCACAGTCATCCAGGTCACTTGGACGTTCATCACGAGGTGGTAGTGGGGATGTCTCTCCTTCGAGCTGAAGCATTTCTTAGTTGTTGTTTCTTTGCTAGCTCTTTTTTTTGTGTTTACTTTTGTTTAGTCTCATTATTTCCTACTTGTCCGGGGTGTGGGCAAGAATTTCTCATATGTATAAACACATTTTTTGTTCGCTATTATTAGTGTTGAGTGCATTGTTCCTTAACTTGCCGTCTCTCGTGTCGTCATTCTTCATTTTCTTTTCATTGTTTGATGGTGCAGGGGAGCGGCTGTCAGAGTTTAGTGGTCGATGGCCCTAGCCAATTTTAGCCTCGTGTTACCCCCGTGCCTAGTCGCGTTGGCTATGTTACCGTCGGGAGAGGGGTCTAGCGATTAAGGGCCTTAGCCAATTTGTGGTTTGTTAAGGCTCTTCGCCTAGCCGCGCAGGCTATGTCGACCGTCGGGAGAGGGGTCTAGTGGTTAAGGGCCTTAACCAATTTTTGGCTTGTTAAGGCTCTCCGCCTAGCCACGTAGGCTATGTCGACCGTCTGGAGAGAGGTCTAGCGGTTAGGAGCCTTAGCCAATTTTTGGCTTGTTAAGGCTCTCTGCCTAGCCGCGTAGGCTATGTCGACCGTCGGGAGAAGGGTCTAGTGGTTAAAGACCTTAGCCAATTTTTGGCTTGTTAAGGCTCTCTGCCTAACCGCGTAGGCTATGTCGACCGTCGGGAGAGGGGTCTAGTGGTTAAAGGCCTTAGCCAATTTTTGGCTTGTTAAGGCTTTCCGCCTAGCCGTGTAGGCTATGTCGATCGTCGGGAGAGGGGTCAACGGTTAGGGGCCTTAGCCAATTTTTGGCTTGTTAAGACTCTCCACCTAGCCGCGTAAGCTATGTCGACCGTCGGGAGAGGGGTCTAGCGGTTAAGGGCCTTAGCCAATTTTTGGCTCTGCGTAGGCTATGTCGACTGTCTGGAGAGGGGTCTAGTGGTTAAGGGCCTTAGCTAATTTTTGGCTCTGCGTAGGCTATGTCGACTGTCTGGAGAGGTGTCTAGCGGTTAAGGACCTTAGCCAATTTTTTGGCTTGTTAAGACTCTCCGCCTAGCCGCGTAGGCTATGTCGACCGTCAGGAGAGGGGTCTAGCGGTTAAGGGCCTTAGCCAATTTTTGGCTTGTTAAGGCTCTCTGCCTAACCGCGTAGGATATGTCGACCGTCGGGAGAGGGGTCTAGCGGTTAAGGGTCTTAGCCAATTTTTTGCTTGTTAAGGCTCTCCGCCTAGTTGCGTAGGCTATGTCGACCGTCGGGAGAGAGGTCTAGCGGTTAAGGGCCTTAGTCAATTTTTGGCTTGCTTGTTAAGACTCTCCGCCTAACTGCGTAGGCTATGTCGACCGTCGGGAGAGGGTCTAGCGGTTAAGGGCCTTAGCCAATTTTTGGCTTGTTAAAGCTCTCCACCTAACCGCATTAGTTATGTCGATCGTCAGAAGTGGGGTCTAGCGGTTAAGGGCCTTAGCCAATTTTTGGCTTGTTAAGGCTCTCCGTCTAGCCGCGTAGGCTATGTCGACCGTCGGGAGAGGGGTCTAGCGGTTAAGGGCCTTAGCCAATTTTTGGCTTGTTAAGGCTCTCCGCCTAGCCGCGTAAGTTATGTCGACCATCGGGAGAGGGGTCTAGCGGTTAAGGGCCTTAGCCAATTTTTGGCTCCGCGTAGGCTATGTCGACTGTCTGGAGTGGGGTCTAGCGGTTAAGGGCCTTAGCCAATTTTTGGCTTGTTAAGGCTCTCCGCCTAGTCGCGTAGGCTATGTCGAACACTCTCTGCAGATAGGCCACGTGTTCAGCGGCCTTAATACTTTTTACCACCATATCATCGACGTAAGCTTCTATGACATTTCCAATCAACTCCTGGAAAACCCTATTTACCATCCTCTGGTAAGTTGCCCCTGCATTTTTCAGGCCAAAAGGCATGGCAGTGTAACAGTATGTTCCAAAATCTGTGATGAACGACGTCTTCTCCTAGTCTCACTCAGCCACAGAGATTTGATGATACCCCAAGAAAGCGTTTAGGAAGCTGAGCCTCTCGTGACCCGATGTGGTGTTGATGAGGTGGTCTATCCGTGGGAGTGAGTATGAGTCCTTAGGGCATGCCTTATCCAATCCGGTATAATCTACGTACATGCGCCACTTCCCATTTAACTTTTTTACTAGCACAATGTTGGCTAACCATTCGAGGTACCGTACCTCTCGGATGAAACCTGCTTGCAGTAGCTTTTCCACTTTCGCCTTTGCTATTTCTTACCTTTCGGGGGCGAGGTTCCTTTTCTTCTGCTTTATTGGTTTGGCTCCGGGTAGGACTCCGAGGCGATGCTGAGTGAGTGCTAGCTGACCTCAGTGATATCACTTGAACTCCATGCAAAGACGTCTAGGTTATCTGTCGGATACCTCACTAGCTTTCCTTTTTCGTCAGAGTCCAACTCGGCCCCAATGCTGACCTCCCGACCCTCCATTATGGAAATCTTTTCGATCATGTTAAGTGGCTCAATCCGCCATCTCGGAGGTTCGACTTCTAACATCATGAATTATGGGGCTCTTCTAACTGATATACTGTCGACATAACATTTTCTGGATGCTTGCTAATCTTTCTGTACACACCCGACTCCCCTGCTAGTCAAAAATTTCAGGACCTGGTGATAGGTCGAGGGGATGGCCCCAGCTGCGTTGAGTAACGGTCGACCGTAGATTGCATTATAGGCCATTGGGGTCTTAACGACCAAAAAGCTTGCCACAATTACCACAGTGGTCGGATATGTGCCCAGCGTGACTGGGAGCTCCACAGTACCTTCTGGAATCACCGTGGCTCTTCCAAAGCCTTACAAGGGGGTGTTCACGATTTTTAACTTGTCAGGTGGGACCTTCAGGCCTAAAAAAGCGTCCCAGATGAGTACATTTGCAGCACTTCCCCCGTCGACAAATGCTCTTTTGACGTTAAAATTAGCTATGTTGCCTACTATTACTAGGGCATCATCATGGGGGTGCGCCATGCCTACCAAGTCTTCCTCGCCAAAAGTGCTTTGGCTGAACCTTGCCTTCTTTTGGATGGAGCAGATCCCGAGAGAGCGCGCGTAGGTTTTCCTTGCCGAGTTTGAATCTCCCCCTCCTGCTAACCCTCCTGTAATCATGTTTATCACTCCGACCCTATGTGGGGGACAATTCTCCATCTTTTGCTTCCCTCGATTATCCTTCACATACTTGCTCAAGAGACCCCGCCTTAGGAGGCGCTCGATCTCCTCCTTCAGTTGCATGCACTCTTCAGTATCATGCCCGTGATCCTTGTGGAAATGACAATATCTACCCTGATTTCTTTTGCCCGCTGGCTTTACCATGGGTCTCGGCCATTCTAGCTCTTTCATGTCTCGTATTTCCATCAATAGTTTGGCATGGGGGGTGTTCAAAGGGGTGAACGCCCTGGATTCCTCTCGTTTGTGCCTGGCTGGCCAATCTTGGGCGGCCTCTTTCACCATCTGCTCACTCCTTGGCCTATTTTTGTTGGTAGGTCTTAGCTCGTCCCTCGCCTTGCGCTTGTGACTTTCTACTTCCCATCTTTCTCTGAGGTTCTTTGTGACCTTCTCCGCCTCCTCAGCATCAACATACTTATCTCCCTTTTTCTATAGGTCGTGCATTGATTATGGGGGGTTCTTAGAAAGTGACATCTTGAAAGCCCGGTTCCAAGTTCCATTCATCAACACAGTCACCACTGCCGACATCTGAAGGTCCTCTATTCCAAGGGTCGCACAGCTAAATCTAGCCAGATATTCCTGCAGAGACTCATCTTTCTCCCGGACCACCTGCATCAGTCCAATGGCTGTCCTCCTCTTTCTCTTCCTACACAGGAAATAGGCTACAAAACTCCTGGAAAGTTCATCAAATGTTCGGAAAGATCGGGGGACAAGTGTTACCACCGAGTCTTTAGCTTCCCTCTTGAGAGTCGGGGGAAAAGATCGACACATTATCGCATCGGGTGCTGCATAGGGTCTCATCAGATCAACAAAGGTCCGCAGATGGTCAAGTGGATCCGTGACCCCGTCGTAAGCCTCTATCATAGTTGCTTAAAGCCTTTAGGTAAAGGGACCGCCATGATCTCGGGCACGAACGGGTCCTCTTCTAGGACCATCTGCCTGCGCTTGTCTTTTCTTTTAGAAATCGCGTCATCAATTTTCTTCGTCATGATCTTTTCCATTCTCCGCTCCAGATCTGCCAAGGGTGGGAGGGATTGCAAGACCGTCATCCTTGGAGCCCCCGAGCCTATGGTCACCGGTTGGATGGCAGGCGGTGTTTCTTTGTGCACCTCCTGGGGTGGAGGCAGGGACTCTGCCGAATGCGGTGGGAGGGCGGCTCTCTGCGTTTGATTCTGCAAGAGGGTCATCATGGTCACTAACTGGGTCTCTAGGGCGTTGAACTGGCTTTGCGTCACATACTGCGGCGACGACGACGACGACGGATCGGGGCCTCTGGCGATCGATTCTAATTCTGCCTCCGTCGTTGCTAGTCTTAGGCGTGTGTCACTTCATGTTCGTCTTCTCGACATGACCTTTGTGTTCAATGGAAGAAATTCCCACAGACGGCGCCAATAAAATGGTGGTGGAACAATACCCTTCTATCTACCTGGTGGTGCTCGGTGTTCCGACTACTCCATCAAGTGTGTGTGACCTGAAAAACGAAGGCGGGACTTCTTCTCTCGTTTTACCTCTGGCGTGAGAATTAGTTTTTAGACTTGGAAAAAATGCAATTAGAATTCAGATGGCTAAAGAGAGAGAGAGAGAGAGCCCTTTACCTATGTCACATCCGGGGGTATTTATAGATATTGGGAGCTGGATAACCACTGGACGGTTGTGGTGCCACGTGTCCCACGTTGGCATTCCCACTACCCCCACTTCTGAGTGGGGTCTTTAACTTCCTGCCTGGAGGTTGTTCCCGCATTAACCGCCATGGAACCCAGTCAATTCACTAGAGGTTTTATGGCTAAGTGTTTGGATAGGCAATATCATGCCCGTTGAAGACTTCGCGTAGAGGTAGAGCGACCTCTAGGGATAGTGGTAGAGCGCCCCCTAGGGGTTATGGTAGAGCGCCCCTGGGGAGGTCGACGACCTCGCGTAGTGGTAGAATGCCCCCTAGGGGTTATTGTAGAGTGCTCCCTGGAGGTTGTGGTAGAGCGTCCCTAGGGGGTCGACGACCTTGCATAGCAGTAGAGCGCCCCCTGAAGGTTGTAATAGAGCGTCCCTAGGGGTTGTGGTAGAGCACCCCTGGGGGGTCGACGGCCTCGCGTAGTGGTAGAGCACCTTTTGGGGTTTGTAGTAGAGCGTCCCCTGGGTTGTGGTAGAGCGCCCAGGAGGGGGTTGACAGCCTTGCATAGTGGTAAAACGCCCCCTAGGGGCTGTGGTAGAGCACCTCTAGGGGGGTCGATGGCCTCGCGTAGTGGTAGAGCACCACTTAGGGATAGTGGTAGAACACCCCTTACGGGTCGATGGCCTTGTATCGAAGTGCAGTGATCCATCTTGTTTGTCGTCGAGGGTGGCTTCCTCTACCAAGCTATATCAGGTTTGATCTGAATTTTGATTAGGGATTTCATTTCTTCTCTTCTCCTCTTCTCTTACCAATGGTGATCTGGGAAATCTATTATTCTCCTGCAGACCCCAAATATTATAATTCACAAGTTAGTGACGATGTATACTTCAATACTATTATGCCTGGTGTTGACACATAACAATTCAGCCCAAGTCGAACAGCCCAAGGAGTAAAGCCCAATTGGAGAATCCCCAAATCGGATGGCCCAAAGAACGAAGTCCAATTGAACGAGTCAAGGTGAAGGCCCAAATAAGGGGCCCAAGAATGCGGTAACGCCGTCGCTCAAGTTTGCAAGTCGCCCAAAATCTGAACGAATGGAGTGTCATACGGTCGCCCAGAGCTGTTATTCTACTCTCGCCCAAACCTTCAAGTCGCCCAAGGTATCAACAAATATAACGCATCGTGGTTATCAAGGAATGCAGTTATCAAGGCAGTTGTTAAAGTAGCCTTATCATGTTCCACGAGTCAAGGGATTCAATCGAAAGCGATTGAACGATGAAAGATAATGGCAGCAGTTAAGAGGCAGTTTCATGACAAAATGGCCACTACGAAGAAAGTGGGTAGTTATAGGACGATCAAGCAGTTTTCAGAGTAGTTAATCACAAAGAGATCATCTATGAGGTATAAAAGGTAGAAAGGACGCAGAAGCAAAGGACCGAATCCAAAACTCTCGAACAGAGAATATGTAATTTTCATTTCCTTAGCTTTTAGACTTAAACATTTTTCTGTAACTCGTGTGCTTGCGCCCCTTGGAGGCACGTTTGTTTTTCATTCCCAATTGTAAAGTTCATCGCCAATAAAAGAACACCCCTTTTTGGGACTTTGTCTCAAGAGGTTTCGTCCCTTACACAATCGTCTGATCCTTTTTAATTGTTAGCGACTTAACCCGCGCGAAACAATTTGGCACGCCCGGTGGGACTGTGGTGTTAGGTGTTGAAAATACAAAAGGTGAAACAATATGCCTCAGAGATCCGACAAGGAAGGAGCAAGTCAGGGAGGAATCCAGTCTGTAATCGAGCGATATGAGGAGCAGCATGCCTCTCCACGAACAGATGGACAAAATCAGAGCAGTAACAGTCGTTACGAACCAATGACGGAGTTGAGTCCTCGAACCATGCGTGCATTGCTTGGAGAACTCACGCAAGACGTCGTTGAACAGATAAATCTTCGAAGTATTCATAATATGGAAAGATTTACACAAAATGAAAACGCACACTATGACAATATGGCCAAACAGCTAAAGACGTTAAACGAAACAATGAATAAGTTAGTAGGCCAGATATGTCAACCGGCTATACCTCTTACAAACCACTTTCAAACTAGGACAATTGTGGGACATAATCCCTCTGTCCTAAATCCGAATCAAGGGGTGGAGTCGCTTTCTGGGCCCTCCACTTCAAACCAAGGGGGTACTACAGTGCCAAATCAAAACAATGGTAGTGGCATGCCTAACTTGGGAGGTAATTCAAACGTGAGAGATAATGTCCTAAACAATGGACAAAATATTCCACGTGGTAATGAGGGAACAGATGTCCAGGCTAA